AGAGAATATATTACAGTTAATATTTTAACAAATTTTACTAATCAATGATCTTGATAATAAATATAGATACAGTTTGCATTCAATTATTTAACGCCATCTATTTTAAATAAAAATGATATTAAAATTAATCTTCATATTATTCATTCCAAAATGTCTTTAAAAGATATTTTCTGATGTCCTTATCAATATTTTATAATTTTCTGTAAAATATATAATTCGCTATATTGGTAAAAATTACTTGATTGTCATATGATAATTGATAAAATAAGATATACTGTAAATCTACGACATATAATATTCCACCGTTTGTATTGTGCTTTAATTTTTTATTTAATTTTATCAATAATTTTATGATTATATTTTACTTTTATTAAGATAAATAAATTAAAATTACTCACTTTATAAAAAATTATATTTGATATATTATTATATAGTAATTTTATGGATCTATTATTAATGATTATAATACATTTCACTTTTGTCTTAAGACTTATCTTTGGCTTATATTCCATTTCTTAAAAAGAAATTTTGGTTCACTTTTTTAATATATAAATGCTTTTTTAAATGTAGAAATTATGATGAATAGTTTTATAAAAAAATATCAACTTTTACATTCTTTCTTTCAAATTATTGTTTAAGATATATGCATACATTTTTGAAGGTCAGGGAGTGGAGGGTAGGACTAAGGGGAATATTTTTTATTAGCTTAAAGTGATATTCACAAAAAGTGATAAATTTCTGAAGGGAGGGGGATTTCCCCTTGCCCTCCACTGGCTACGCCTATGCAGCAGCTGTAAATCTTAAATTACATAGCCACACAAATATGCTGGTTAATTTGCTGTCTGGCGTTAAATATGTGAAAGCAATTTATTCCTTATATTTATTATCAAAAGCATTTATTAGTAAAATTTATTTATTAACTCTAAAATATTATATAACTGTCAAATTCGTCTTTAAAAGTGGTATTTAACCTAATATTTTATAACCAATTATATCTAATAGAGGATTATAAACTATATGTTTACTTACTTTTTATCAGAGTTGTTAAAGGATTTAGATACTTAGATATAAAAATGTGGTATCTGTATCTAGATAGATTTTTGATTAAATAATCTGTATCTAGATATTATTTTAGACGTTGTATCTGTATCTAGATCCATTTAAAAAGTATCTTTTAACAACTCTGCTTTTTATAAATAAATCTCTTATACTTATTTGGATTTGGACCTTGAAAATAATTTTAAGAAGAGGCATGGTAATTAAATTTAAATATCAACAATATAGTTGATTAGTGATTTTGAACTCGACTAATTACAATATTAAATTTGTTAATTTTCAATTAATAATTATTTAATTAGGGTTATATAATAATTAAAATAATAATTGTCAATTAAGCTTCTGATATAAATATTCTATTTTTAACACAGAATTTGATTGCAAGCTGACATAGTTAAAATATAATTTATAAGTATTAATCTTATCAAATAATTAAAATAGTATTCATTTAAGAATAATTTAGATAGACTTATTAATTTTTAAATTATGAAATTAAATCTATATATTACTCAATAGTATTACAAAAGATATCATTCAGTGGGCAATCAAAAAAATTTATTTTTAGTTCAAGGGGATATTAAGGAGCCATTAAAAAAAAATTTTCTTGCTTCAGGGGGGCTATTCAAATTTTTCAGGGGGATAGAGCCCCTGCACTCCCCCTTCCCTAGCGACGCTACTGCATTTATATTATAAAATATATATTAATATTCTGTTGTAAATAAAACCGCTAATTTTATTATATATAAAAAAAGTATAAATCAATTTTTTTTATAATGCTTTATTGTGGATTTTTTTTCCTACTTTTACTTTTATTTTAACTTTTATTTTCTTATTATATGTTATTTATTATTATAAAATTTATACTTTTAATTTTACATATTCATTAAAATATGAGTTTTTATTTTATAAATTTTTATTGAATGAAAGTTTTATTTTATTTAAAAGTGATTATAATTTGAAATAAAAGATATAAGCTACATAAAAATAAAATATATATTTTTTTGAAAAAATAATAAAATAATATAACGAAAAAACGTGAGGAGGCGCCTCTAGGTTATGGCACCGTGGATTGATATATTATGTGACATACAAATTTCCATTGGAATTCGCTGACGTAGGTAAAAATCTTCTCGAGGATCACTCGAAATTAAGCGCATTTTTTGGCTGAGTACTGAAGAAATCCTAGGCTCTGGTTCCAAAGGCACCGATTGTGTCAGAAACAATACGGGTTAGAGTTAGTGTTATTAAACAGCTCGTTTTGAGCCGATTTTTTAAAATGGCAACTCAATATTTTATCTAGAAAAATATTACCTAAGTCTCGAGATTTCAATAATATTTGTCTAGATCTTTTTTACTTCTATGAGCAAAATATTCAGGCTTGCGTAATATTTTTATGGGTGAAATACTGAGTTAGCCGTTTTTAAAAATAGGCTCAATACGTGCCGTTTAACAACACTAGTTAGAATGATATTAGAAATGTTAATATATTTATTGATTTTTCTAATTTCCGCTCTTACCAAGGTATTAAAGCTAAAGGATGGTGCAAACCGATAAACACATGTATAATACCAGTCAAGCGAGATTCCCCTGCACCATGGAATAAGTGTCATTCTGTCAGGTCTGATATTGATCCCGAGATTAAGATCGACAGGTTTCAAAGTTAATTAATATAGGCTCAAAGAGGAGTTTAGCAATGATTGAATTTACTGATCGATGGCAGGGATAGCGGCTTATAGAAATGTGGCAGTGAAGAGGGTGATAATCTAGATTGTCGACAGGGAGCTGATAGAATTTTCAAGATGATATTGTGACGTTATCACAGTCTAAACTATGCTATTTTAAAATCTATTTATTGTTGTAATAAATACATGAACTTGAAATATCGTTAAAATTATTATAAACATAGAATTATTTATGTTATGATATTGCTTTTGATAATACTATTAAGTAACTTTATTGTAATAATATTAAATCATCTGGATACAATAATTTATTCATGTCGTATAAATATATACAATACCGCGACCGATATAACAATAATAATTATTATTAATTGATTGATTGGCAAGCTTCACATCAACTACAACAATTAAGATACATTTTGCAAATGGCTGCCAAATGAAAGACGTTTTTATAACATTATAAAATTGGGCGTTGAGCAGTCAATAATAATATATGTCTATTCTCGTGAAAGTATTCAGAATTTTTATAAGGGGGGTGGATTTTAGGTGTGATTTTTCCTTATATATTTTAAATGGATCATAAGTCCACTTATTTTAGGTCTTTAGTTATATTCGATTTTCATAAAAAATATTTGGTATTTCACATTTTTTTTATTAAAATGCTTTAAAAATTTTTTTTTTGAATTATAGTCGTTATTTTAAAATGTTATTTACCTTATAGTAATATATTGTTTACCATAGGCGTAGCCAGGATTTTCATAAGAAGGGGGGGGGGAAATTAAAAAATTACTTGGGGCTTCGCCCCCTGACCCCCTTTTGGGTGGGCCTTAGGCCCGCTTTCCCCGACCTTCGGCCGGGTTACTTTAGTCTATATATAATCATAAAATATTTTTACAAATTTTAATAAAAAAAATAAGCCTGGAACAAATATGAAATATATTTTTATTAGTTTATATGAAAATATAAATTACTTACCTTAATATAAAAGCATGGTAATAGTTTATTCCAAACAATTATAAGAAATTTATTTATAAAATAAAAAGTAAGTAGACATATAGTTGATTTTATTCTATTATATAGAATTAGTTATAAAATACTAGGTAAAATTCCACTTTTACAGATATATTTGACAGTTAGAGAATATATTACAGTTAATAATTTAACAAATTTTACTAATCAATGCTCTTGATATTAAATATAGCAACATATGCATTCAATTATTTAACTCCATCTATTTATTTTAAGTAAAAATGTTATTTAAATAAAATCTTCATCTTATTCATCCCACAATGTCTTTAAAAGATATTTTCTGATGTCCTTATCAATATTTTATAGTTTTCTGTAAAATATATAATTCGCTATATTGGTAAAAATTACTTGATTGTCATTTGATAATTAGATATACTGTAAATCTACGACATAAAATATTCCACTGTTTGTATTGTGCTTTAATATTTTTTTAATTTATGATTTAATTTTATCAATAGTTTTATATTTATATTTTACTTTTATTAAGATAAATAAATTAAAATTACTCACTTTATAAAAAATTATATTTGATATATTATATTATTTAGTAACTTTATGGATATATTATTAATAATTATAATACATTTCACTTCTGTCTTAAGACTTATCTTTGGCTTATATTCCATTTATTAAAAAACATTTTTGGTTCATTTTATATATTTATAAATTTATTTTCCCAAAAATCTATAAATTATGATGAATAGTTTTATAAAAAGATATCAACTTTTACATTCTTTCTTTTAAATTATTATTTAAGATATATGCATACATATTTGAGGGTTAGGGAGTGGAAGGAGGACTAAGGGGGATATTCTTTATTAGCTAAAAATGATATTTACAAAAAGTGATAAATTTCTGAAGGGGGGCGGGATTTCCCCTTGTCCCCCCTTTGGCTACGCCTATGTTGTTTACATTTATGGAAAAGAGGTGGGGGTGTTTATTGTGCTAATAACAAAGTTGGCTAACTTTTAAATTTAAAGAAATTTCTTCTTCCCTTGGTTAGACGCCTGTTACTACTCAAGAGTCTAGTTTGTATATTCATTTAGATATATTAAGTTTCATATTTGATGTATCCTCAACACCAATAAATTTTAGAACCTCTTTCTTTAATTAAAATCTGTATAATTATTTTTTACCAAATGTTTTTAAACCAATAAAATATGGAGAGAATCCACGATGATATTTCTTGTCTAGATATGACACTATTAATGTCACATGTCCGTCTAAGCCAGATGACAAGACGTGTTTATAGTTTGGTTCAGTTTTTTAAAATGTTATCCGCAATCAATTCTGATATACCTAATAAAAATACTATATTTATTTTAAATCAAGTATTTGGATGGGTATATTTTATAGCTTGGTCTATATCATTTTATCCTCAATGTTACACTAACTTCAAAAGGAAGAGGTTTGATTTAAATACTAAATAATATAATTATAAATAGTATTATAGGCCTGAATCTAGATTTTTTAACGCTCAATATCACAGGATTCTTCTGTTATTCAGTATTTAATATATCTATTTTCCTAATATATAGGGTAACATATAAAATAAATAATTATTTACATTCTAATAATTCTTAGAATCAAAAAGATCATCCTGTTGAAATCAATGATATAGTATTTAGCATCCATGCATTTTTTCTAACTGTTTTTACTGGGATACAGGCGCTGATATATGAGGTTAATATTTTAGCATTTATTACTTATCACTATTGTTTTTAGTAGATAGGTGATAAATAATGTTTATATATAATTTGGGAAGTACCGATTATAAGTCTGCAAAGTAATTTTTTTGCAGTCCAAGCCCAAATTTAAATTTTATTTTACCCTACCCAAGCTTAAGCACACATTTTTAGATCCAACTCAATTTTTTTTATAATTTTTAAATATTATAATATCCAAGAAATAATTAAAAATTATGTTTACACATTGCCACCTTAAATAAAAGTATATTTAACCCCCATAATCTAATTAATATTCATATAAAGTTGCATTTTATTTAATTTGTATACATTATATATTTAACTTAGCTTTAATATAAAAAGTAATGATAAAAATCAAATTTAAAAAATATTGTTATTATATAAAAATAATTTGCATAATTGTCGAAGAAAGATGAATTGTTTATATGGAAACAAAATTTCTAATAAATATAATAATCACATATTAAAAAGATATATCAATATCAATTTTGATTGATAATTTTGTGAAACAAAAGATATTTGTATTATTAAGGATATTTGTATTTTTAGTATTTATTAATTAGGTCTGACATATCTTATAGTTGACTTGAGCCCAAGGAAAATTTTTTTCAATGTCTGAACCTGAGACTCAGGTCAGGCTTTAGACAGTCCATACAGACCTCTAGTATCGATATTAAATATTGATGATGAATTGGAACCAATATTGGACTTTTCAAAGAAATATCAAATTGGGCAATATTTTTAAAAAAATTTTATGTTTACTGTTTTTTAGACTTATTTTTATGCACATTTTTTGTACACATTTTTATTTATTTTTGAACTAATTTCTAGTGTTACTTGCTAAAAAATAACTATAACTAGCTATATTTTAAAAATTGTAACTAGTCATATTTTGACATTTTTTACTACTAACTGTAAATTTATATTTTGTGAAATGTCACTGCCCAAAGTAACTAGTTACTTTAATATGTATTTTTAACTTTATTTTTAATATGTTGTGATAAATTAATTTTAAAATTTTATTTAAATGTCCGATTGTTTGCAAAGGATATGCAACAATAATATAATTTCCCTTCCAAATAGATTTTCTTTTCTTAAATTGTTGCATTGCTGGGTTTCATAATTTTGTAACCAAATTTAGTGTTGTTAAACAACTCGTTTTGAGCCGATTTTTAAAAATGGCTAACTCAATACTTCACCTATAAAAATATTACGCAAGCCTGAAGATTTTGCTCATAGAAGGAACAAAGGTCCATACATATAGTATCGAAATCTCAAGGCTTAGGCTATATTTTTCTGGCTAAAATATTGAGTTAGCCGTTTTTAAAAATCGGCTCAAAATGAGTCGTTTAACAACACTAACCAAATTCAAGTAATAAACCTATTTTTTAATATTATATTTTTTTAGCACAAAATATTCTATATTTTTTGCCCTCAAGTTGCTGTCAATATTTATACTCTGCAATTTCATAAGTAATAAATGTATTTTTTTAAAAAAATTAACTAAATTAGATCATAAAACTTAGTATAAGGAAAGACAGACTTCGATTATTTTAGAATTGATTAATCTTTATTTTTGTGTAAAATACTCAATTAGTAAGCATTACTTATAATAAGGAAAGACAAATACCAAGAAAGAAAAACAAAATATTATAATGTAGATATCCATTTCCTTTAATAAGAGATTAATCAAATACCCTTCATTCTATAGGCTAATTTACTTTTTTTGAAAATTGGGGAATTATCTAGGGTACTTTTGTCCGGGTCCTCTTGTCCAGAATTTTTTTTCTTCTAAAAAAAATTGGTAAATTCTATGATCTAAAGTGTTTCACAAATTATACACTGGGATACTTATATAATTAAATAAGAAAAAAAATTTCTAATACTCTTCCCTTATTATTCTTATCACGATTTTCTTGACAAAAAAAACTCCAAAATTATACAGTTCTATTTAAGCTAGACTTGGATGCTGATGAATTAACATATTGCAATAAGTTTAAATATTTACAACAACTGCTATATATATAAATATTATATTTGCAAATATTTGAGTGAAAAAATCATTAATTCTTAATACAAATCATAACCCATTTTTAAAATTAAGAGGCCATTTTAAAATTTATAAGAATCTGAAAGTAACTTATAATCTAACTAGTTACTTTTGAAATATTTTCTCATAAATATTCATATCATATCCCATAAAAAGTGACTTATTAAATAAAAATGTTTACTTCTATCTTTAAATAAATGTAGAAAACATTAAACATTTTTATTCCTCTTGTTACACTGTTTTTATTAAGAAGAAGCTTATAGCAAATAAAATGCAAATTTAAATTTTATTAATTATTAAAGGTATCAATATTTTATTTCTGATCGATCCTCTTAAATAGGAGGGTTAATGCTCAAAGGTTTCCCACTTTGGAAAACCTTGCATTTAAGTATTTCGCATCTCCTTCAACAAGTGTTCCATTAAAATCAGTCTGCAGCACAGCTGGTGATATGGAAATCCCTCATAAGAGGAACTTATCATATAAACTTAATGCCCTTAAATTTATGAGGAAAAATATCCAAATTATAATTATTAATTATTTTATATTTCATTATTATATTATTTTGTTAATTTATATTTAATTTGATCTTTTTATTTAAATAAAGATTCATAGTTTGATAAACAGAAAATAATATTATATCAGAGACCTGCATGCCTGGCCTGGGTACACGAGGCTGGCCTGAATTTTTTTTAAAAATACCCTGGGCCATATAATATAGTGTGCTATCATATAAATTTAAAATTATTTGTATTTTGCCTAAATTAGATAAGTGAAAAATCTGATAATCATTAAAATGGAACTATATTTTTAATTATTCTTTAATGGCTATAATTTAATAAAATAAGACATTATTTATTATGTATCTTTTAAATCTACATATTTAAAGATAAGACATATTTTTAGAATTTGCTCTGAGATTTTTTTTTAAGTGCCGGGATAAGTGAATATTCTGATTTAAACGCTTTTAGAACAAATTTATGCATTGATTTTTATTATTTCATTATCTTATAGTGTTTAAAAAAATCAAGTGAATATCGATATCGGTACCATTTTAAATAAATATCGGATCTGATCTGTTGTAGCTGATGTTTTTATAAGATGTATTTTTTTAAATATGGATTCGGCAATTTAACCATTTTGTTGAAAATTTATTAATTTTTATACTGGATTTAAAAAGAAAAATAAAGATTATTTACTGCGATTAGTGAAGTTTTAACAATTCATCATTTATTACATGCCCGCTTTTCACTTTCTATCTCCTTCATCTCTTAATAACAAATCTTCTAAATATACATTGTTTGTCGCAATATGTCCACCAATTTTATTGGTCTCCATAGTTGTGTTTCCCTGGCTTGTTTCGTCATTGGTATTAAAAAAAATAAATATGTTCATAGCTAATTGATATCAGTCATTCCTTTCTTCACATCACTATAATACCAAAGGTTACCCTATTTCTTAATTATGGTGTTTGAAGATGTTTTAAATGTAATCCCACGAAACATCTAATTTCAGAGTGCAAGATGTATACGCCTGGACTTATGGATCCATCCTCTTTGATATTTGCAATAGGTTCTAAAGAATCGGCACCTGCGATTTTTGATAGAGATATGTCTCCCTATAATATCGATGGTAATATAAGGTCAGTTACTAGTCCGAAATGACGAAACAAGTCGGAAGTTGGTGTTGGAAAAAGGAATCAAGTGAGGACCCATAGACGACTGCCCCAGAGAAACGCAGCGATGACAGATGAAATTGGTGGGCATATGGCTAGAAATCACAATATATACTAAGAAAATTTGTTATTGAGAGACTAAGGAGATGGAAAGTGAAGAAAGTGCAAGATATTTATCTTTAAAACAACATATAAGTTTGATATTTTTTAAATCAGTATATTCGTGAATTTTAATCTCCAAAAAATAATATTTCAAAGTAAAGGATAAATGTAATTTATACTCCGATTAAATCAAACTGATTCTTAGGAAAGGCTTGGCTTTTGAATTTAAATAAGACTCTTATATTTCTAATATGGACACTCAGGCGCGTACTCAGGAATTTAGTCGGTGGGGGGGGGGATAATAAATTTTTAAGAAATATTGTTTTTTAAAAATATCAAGCATAAATTTATTAGAACTAATAACTATTTCTAATACACAATTTTAAATTAATGTGAATTATAAAGAAATTATATGTATAAACCGTCATATAAAAAACTATAAAGTAAATGTGAATTAAAAAAATATTAAACGGATATAACTGGCGGTATAGAAAAACTATAAAATAAACCTGAATTATAAAATATAAAGTGAATATAACCACTATATGAATCACTTAAATGACCCTAAATAGAAATTTGAATTTTTTGGGCCTTTAAAATTTACATATATAAAATTTTAATGTTGGAAATATAAATTAATACACAAAAAGTTTATAAGGAATAATTGTATTTTGTAAGTTATATATATATACATGTAAAATCCAATCTTCGTTGGGATTGAGCTAATATTTCAATTATCTCATCCTTGCTTGTCAAATGCCTATGAATATTCAAAAGATCCATACCTTTCAATCTACTTTCAGAAGTTGTACTTCTTGGTATGTTTTCAGAGACCTGCAGGGGCCGGACCGTATTTTAATTTTTTAAATATACCTGGGCCGGGCCCGATTTTTTTTAAAAAAAACACCCGGGCAGGGCCTGAAAATTTTTTTTTAAAAAATATCCAGGCCGGGTTGTATATTTTAAAACAGCCTATATTTAAAATTGTTAGCTATAAAAATAAAAAAAATATAATTTATTTTAAAAAAATCCGGGCCGGGCCTGAAATTTTTTAAAAAAAAACCCTAACCAGGCAGTAAAAAATTTAAAAATAAAATACGGGCCGTGCCCTGCAAATGGTACCTCTGCAGGGCTCTGTTATTCTTCTTAAAAAGAGAATGTTCTTATTTGTTTACTAATGGGAAGAGTTGCTAATATATATAAATCCTTTTAATACTTGGGAATATAATCTAAAATATGTTTGAAATGCAAAGCAACCATAGCATTTTTTGGTACTATATCAACAGTTAATTTTATAAACGTAGTTATTCAGCTAATAAGGCATCATAAGATACTTTAACATCTTCATGATAAAAATCTAACAAATATTTTTTTTCTATCACCATCTGAAAAAGGTTGGTAAGGCTCTTGTGGAAGTAATATCTGCAGATTTGTAAGTGCTGCATGATGAATTAAAAACCATTCATTTATTTGGGTTATAAATATATCTAAGAGAGGGGACATTTGTTTTATAATACTCTTCTACTGATCCTATATTAATGTTTTAACGATGAGCTTGCCTAGCTGCAAGTCGAGGGAGACAAATATTAAACACGTATAGCTCTGCTTTTGACTCAACAATAACATATAAAATATGAAATTCTTCATCAACATTAGCCCTAATTTCCTTAAGTTCTAATAATATGCTCTCCGCTATTCTCATCTTATTAATCAAGTCAATGTTATGTTTTTGAAAAGTAAATAATGGTAGATAAATATTACACCACTAAAAATTTAAAAATAATAAGTTATCACGTCGGAAAACTTGAAATCGAAATTAATTGATAAAATAACAGTAGATGAATGTGATAAATAAATGTAATTAAATATTTAATATGAGATAGGAATAAATATTAACAAATATAAATTAATATAAACAATAATATTTTTGAAAAATATATCCCGCCATCTGTATTTTTTGGCTTGGCTGCGTACGCGCATGTGGATTCTAAATATAATAAAATAAATTTAACAAAAAACTGATGCTCTTATTTTAACAAATTTTAAAGTCTTTAGTTTTTTGGACTCCGAACCCAAATCTGGTTCAGAGATTACCCATTTTTTTAGAACGAGTAGTAAAAATAGCAATTTTGCTTTATATTATACACTCTTTAATTGTTTTTATCTATTATATTATATCTTCAAAATTTTAATATTTGCACTTAATTTAAGTAACAAATATCTAAATATATCAAGGCTTAACGTGAAAATTACCCAACCCATTCACGTTAATTTTTTCCCCCCACCTTACCAGTCAAGGGTTACATCTACTTATTATATTATAAAAGGTATTGAATGGAAAAAATTGAAATGGGATGGAATTAATAAATTATTTATAAGTTAATCTTTTTCTCATTTTTACAATTGACCTAATTTGATTAAAATAAAATAATTTACTTAATATTTAAATTTTTCTAATATTTTATATGTATATAAATCTCTATACACCTATCCCACTTTTTTTTACCATTACCAAAATAATCTGGTATAGGCCAATTATTTTTTATGAAATATTATTTTTTTAAAAAATAAGTTTATTTGAAAAAATATATATTATACGATTTTTTTCCTCAGGCTTCCTATACTACAAAAATATTTTTATGATAATTAATTAGAGCGGTGCGACTTAATTTTCGTACTTGGCTAAACAGCTTTTGAACTAGGACATCCTGTTTTATTTTATTTTAGGCTGTGTCCAAAATGTTTTGGAAAAAACTTTAAAATTTATAAGTTTTTGCAAATTAATAAAATTATGAAACATGTTCGAAATCTTCCAATATTTTTTTTTTAAATTTTGTAAAAATTAAAATAAAGAAAAACAAAAAATCAGAAAAAAAATACGAAAAATAACAATGCCACCACCAAATACGTCAATATTACTTACTAGTTATTTTCGTAAACCCAAATAAATAAATTTTTATCCAAATTTATTAATTTCTATTATTTTTATAAAAAAATAAATTTTTGTAAATGACGAAAAATGATTTAAAACACTATTTTATTTTAACATTAAAGATAGCTTGTTATATACTTTTTGTTTATTTATATTTTTTAGATTTTGGACACAGCCTTAAGTATTTGATAGCATTGTTATTTTTTAGTTTTAAAAAATTAATATTGTTAAAAGGCTCTAATTTTAAAAACGGCTAACCCAATATTTTAGCCAAAAAATATTAGGCCAACTTAGAAAATTTGCTCATAGATGATTTAGATTTGGATATATATTAAGATTAACATTATTTCTTGCGTAGTATTTTGGCTAAATCGGGCCGTTTATTTAATAACACCACATAAAATTTTGATTGTTTAAAATTTTTATAGGTTATTTTTGAATAATGCTAATCTTTTATTCCCTTTTTTTAAAATAAGATTACTAAGTTCTACCCATTATAATCTTAAAATATTCAGCCAAGGTAATATTATATTTATTATAATAGTTTTGGTTTATTCTTAACGCTACAATATCAGTAATCTTTGAGAAAAAATGTCGAAAAAGCTCTGATGGGCTCTGACAGACCTTGATTTGAAATTGATCTATCTCCATTTCTATTCATTATATTCACTTTAAAAAATTATATATTGAATTAAAGCTTAAAATACATATTTTAATTTTTTCAAAAAAATTGTTAAGATTAATTATAATTTATGCCAAAATTTTCTAAAAAGGTAAAATTAAAAAAATTTAACTCTATATTAAAGCCAAAATATTTAATAAAGTCGATACTTATTTTAAATGAAAATATAAATTTTAATATTTTTTACGTATAAGGTTTAAAAAAATGTGCATGCTTGTAAGGTTTGACAGCCACAAGTCTCACAAGAATGGCTTATATTTTAAAGCTACTGAACCAAAATTAATAAAAATATTTAAATATATTCTAAGACAAATTTATTGAAGCTACTGATTTCTTGATATCTTAATAAATAACCAGATGGATCCTATAGACTACGCGAGAATATTGAAGTGTTATATTTTTAAAAATAACAATTTCTCTGGTAACTTTAAAGAATTTCTTTTTATCTTCACCAAAACATTGGCTTGGAAATATTGCGTTCAAATTTTTTATCAATTCACGGTTGTAGTTTTAGAATTTTGCTCTAAACTTCATGTATTATTATTTTTTAATCTTTTATTATCGATACAAATTTAAGTCAAAGTTAAAAGGATACAGAAAGATGAGTATGGTTTTTGCTTATAATAAAAATCTTCTATAAACATTGTCTAAAAGATATTTTTTAAAAAATGTGTCTTGTTCTTACTAAAAATCTACTAAGACAGAGTCTTAAAATTATTGTGCTTGTGCAAACGTTTTAAACGCAGCTTTAAAAAAATAAACTATGTAAGTTCTTGAAACAATTTTTAACGTTTATTTTGTGAATTTAAATGATGAGCCTCTTATATTAAAAGATTTCTTTTTTTTTATAAACCAAGTTTTGCAAAAAAATATCTATGAATCTGTATATTATTGAGGTAAAAATTATTAAATTGTATATTATTCCTTTATCTTAAATATCTCTTAAAAACATTAACAAAACAAAAAAAGAGAGGGACCCAGAAGATCTCGAGAATCAATAACGTTATACTGATCTGCATAGCACTCACCTTAGGATCCGGAGTAGTTAGCCTTATAGCGAAATGGTTAAGCTTTATTCATTTCCTTTACCTGTTTTCTTACGTTAAATTGTTTGTTACCTTGATCAAATATATCCCTCAGGTATATATATATATATATATATGTTTTTTAAATACACGTCGAATATATAAAAGATATTTTAAAAAGAAATGTTATATTACCTATGTTTCTAATTAATATTTTTACTAATATTATGAGGAAATCTGTCTAAATTTTATAGTTATTATTATCCTTCTTATTTTATTTACAGGGAAAGCACTTACTATGTACTATTATTACAAACAATTAGGAATAAATTATCAAAAAAAAATTTAATTCCCGACTATATTCAAAGCTAAATATTTTGCTGAAACTTCCCCATTTTAAAAAAAACATAATCATTGATCAAAAATGCTAAATTCTGGGAATTTAACAAATCAGCGAATCAATATATTCTTGCACTTCTATATTTATCTAAAATTAAATTAAACTTTGCATATTGTGACATATTTATCATTATTATATATCAATCATTTTTTTATACAAATAAAGGCATACCTCAATTATAAACGTAAGTCCACTGTTGGCTGGAACATATGGGGAATAATCCTGGATTCCACGGGGGGAATTTTTAGTTTTGCTCAAATGGTTTTATTATCCTGCAGCGGTAGTAAATCTATGTCAAACCTTAATTTTCTTTCAAAAAACTCGGGAGCAGTCGTCTTAAATAGTCATACCTACCCGGCTTGTGTGAAAGAAATGTTTATATCGAATCCAGTTAAGTTAATGCTTGCTGCTATCTCTCTATCCTTCGATATTATATTTTACATCCAGCATTATATCCTTTACCGAGAAAACAATGTTGCAAATAACTTCTACCAAGATATTAGGGGAAATATCACTAGGAGAGAACTCGGTGTTAACGTAAGGGATACTAGTCACTCCTCTCAGATCAATATTCTTGATAATAAGAACACTGACGCAGAGGAGAACTCTGGTGTAAAGTAAATTTTAAAAAAATTGTGCAATTAAATTTTATTTATGTTAATTTTTCTTAAAACATTAAAAGAATCTTTTTTTAAAAAATCCATAATTATATAAGATTTAATATATACAATATACATGTGTTTTATACTTTTTAAATTGTATATCGATTCACCTTAAACTTATATTTTAAAATATTATACATGTACATAATTCTTTCCTTTATATTATATATATATATTGTGTTTAGATTTATTTAGAGATTTATACTTTATAGATTATATTAATCGTGTTTAATTTATATTATAATAACATTTTATCATAAATTAAAGTCCTTTTTGACTTGATCTCTCTAAACAGTCATAAAGTAGAAATAACCTTAAAATTGATTATATTAGGTAAAATTTCAGATTATTTTATATTATTTTAGTGCATTTAAAATTATTCGAATAAATTATTATTTTTGCTTCTGCGTTTTTTTTAATATAAGAAGATACAAGGTTAATTGAGAATGCTTATCTATTAATATTATATAATTTAAAAAAAAAATTAGGTTAATAACAGAAATATAATCAAAAATCGTTATTATTTTAAAATAAAATTTATAATAATTAATATTTTTTGTGATAAAAATTCTAAAAATAATATAACATATTTTCTAATCCTGTTATTTGTAGACAAATCGAATTTATTATATCGTAAACTATATCATTTTTTCATGGAAGTAAGATAAAACGTTAACCATGTCCTTGTTCGACTTATTATTAAACAGCTGACTATATAGATTCACACAAATAAACAAACAAGCCAAAATAGGGTCAGCAATAACTATCAAAATTAAGTCGTGCCAGGACATAGCCTTAATAATTTATCTAGAAAAATAAGAAATATTTTTTGGTACAATTCCCATTCAAGATGAAAAAATGATTTAAAATCCAAGAAACAGAACTTTGCTTGGTTTACAAAACACACGATAAGCCACTCAAGCCCTTTATGAATAAAATTTTTTTTTTGATATGGCGCCCGACTTGCTCCTATTTTTTCTGCATTCACTAATTGAGCCCACGGTTGGCCCGAAACTGTAAAAATAGATTCGCAAAAATTTCGAGACACCCATTTTTTATTGTTCTACCCCCCCCCTCCCCCCCCCTTTACCATATTTCCTTAAATATGTCAATAAAAAAATGGAACTATAAAAAATTTTGAAATTCTGCTTAAAATACAAGATTTCTTTTTTTTTCATTTTCAAAAAATTTTAAGTTTTGGACCCATCAAGGAGATTAGAGAATAAATCATAGTTTGAAAAAAAAATATTTCTAAATTGATTTCATATTGAAAGTTTTTGCGTAAAAATTACAAAAGATTTTGGCAAAATTTTATTAAAAATTTATTTTTATATAAAAACCAACAATAAAATGAACAATTTCATGATATAATTTATTTGCAAAATTTTCCATTAACTTATCAATATGTAATGTCATTCTCTAATTATAACAATAGATTAATTATTAAAATTTCCTGTGGCATTCGATTAAAGTATGATTTTTATTAATTTAGGCCTTGTATTTCGTTATTGGAAAAAAAAATTTTACATTTTTTTCCCATAATTTTGTTGCCATATTTGGCATTTTATCTATATAACCTGGTAGCGTATAGTGAAAATTGTAGCGCATATACAACATTCTGAATGTACGTTGACTATGGTTGCTGGAAACTATTATTTATATAAAATAAATGTTATTTAATATGGTTTTATCTGAATAGATTAATCTTAGTTAGCTAAAATAGAGAAAACAAAACATAATAGAATATTAAAATTAATTTATTTTCAATGATCTGTCATTTGAAATAATGGTATAGACAATAAGTAATTAAATTTACTTCTACAACTAATTTGCTGAATAAAATAATAATAGTAATTGTTTTTGAATGATTTGTAAAATCAGAAAAAAATAATACAATCAATTTATTTTATCTTCATATATTATACAAATAAAATTTGGATTTATTGGTATTTAAGTTTGAGATCTATACATCACCGGCTGGGTCTATTTTTTAAAAATTTCTGGCCGGGCGGGTCAAGCTAAAATTTTTAAATATGATAACATTACATTTTGTCAAATAAATTGTGTAAAAAACAATGCACTAATATTGTTTATTTATAGAATATTTTTTTACAATATATTAAATTTTTCTATATTCTAAATAATTTTATTATTTCGGGTTGGGTTTTCGGAAAAAAATAAAAAAAATTTGATCGGGCCAGACAAAGACAATAATTTTAAATCGGGCCTGGCTGGGTTTAAAAAATTTGTTTTGTCTGGCCCGATGCAGATCACTAATTTTGCCCCCGGAATAACATTTAAAATTATTCTAAAAATATATCTGAGGGAAATTTATTTGCCAAAATATACCATATTATAATTTATAGCTTATCCGTTTTAAATATTAAATTATTCGCCTACAAAATCAAAATGTTTGATATACGGTTTCGTACTGGAGAGCGAAAGATGGTGAGGAAAGGGGGTTTCTGCCTAAGAATCGGTCGGCGCTGAAAACATAATTTAAAAAAAACTTATTAAGCGTCAAGATTATTAAATATTTTGTGTAGTTTACTATAGAGGTTTGCTTTGGTTATGCCCACAAGCCCTCCCGCCTAATATTTTAAAAAAATTTAATCCGCCTTTAGTTATTGAAATAAATACACCTACTCGCCCGCCCTTTAGTCTAAAAAGTGTCTAAAAAAAAGATTTAGTATCAGCGCTACATCCAGCGTCTACATGAGTGGGTGGGGGAGGTAAGAACAGTTTGTATCCAACTCTTTTTGAAGGGGGTGGGAGGTAGGTGCCTTTAAGGGGGGTAGGTAAGATTTATTGTGGGTTATCTATTAAATTTTTAAATGATATGGAGAAAAATATATTGATGTAAAGATTAATACTTTTATTATAAATCTATTATGAAACAATGATATTGCTAATCATCGACCAAATCCATATATTGCATAATTCATAGACACTATTTTCCAAATAAAACAACTTTCTACTATCCTTTTATATAATTTAAAAGGGTTAGACATTCTCAGCAAACTCATTCATGCCAAACAATATACTATAATAATGCATTCATTGTAAATGAGGGGGTTTTTAATTGAATTCATGATCCAAAAAATAACTCTTTTATATTCCCAATATTTTGTAAGTTGGTAGTATAGCTAAAATAATTTAAGTTATTCTTTTAAAATTTATGAAAGGATTATCATAATTATATGTGATTTAAGTTATTCTTTTAAAATTTATGAAAGGAGTATCATAATTATAGGTAAAATAATAATGTAGGCAGCGGAAATATTTAGGGCGGTAGTTAGTGATCTGCATCAGGCCTAATTTTTCAAGCCCGGTCCGAAATTTTTTTTATAGAGTTTTGCCCGGCCCGGCCCGAATTTATATAGAAATTAATTCTTATAATTATTCAAAATAAACGATATATGTTATATGGCGCCTATTTTCTATAAATAAAATCACATATTTTTATTTTACATAAAAATTCAGCATAAAATTGATAAATTTAGATATATTTTAAAAAATTTTTAAGGCCCGACCCGGCCCGGCCCGAATTTTCTTAAAAATTATTAGGTTCGGGCCGGATGCCAGGCTTACTTTTGCAGATCTCTAGCGGTAGGCATCGGATTATGGGGGTTTGCATCCAGTGAAAATCCTGTCATGTAGACGATGGCTACATCCCTGAAAAAAGGTTTTATAATTTATGAAATTGCCATATTAAGTATTAAAATAATATTCAATTTGAAATACGGATAAGGAATTTGATCTAATAAAATTCTTATGTAATAATATAAAATTTATATTTATTAATACTAAAAACCTTTCAGTAATGGAAATTCCTCTTTCAGAAGAAACACTGGTTTTTGGAATTGCTAATATTTTTCTAGCTAATCTTAATAGTTTTGATAAGTCTTTTTCTTGTCATTTCCATCAAAGTAGAGTAAGGAATCCTTTTAAAGTACATGCTCTACTCAAGTAAGATACATAAATAAGAAGTGACATTAATAATAAATAAATAATTTAAATGAATTTATTTATAAATTGTTAACTTAAACTAAACTAAGTAGACTAAAATTTTGCTAAATTGACAAAAACTTATTACTGATTTGAATATTTTGTTATGTCGTTAGGTAATGCTCTCCTTTGCAACAACTACATCTTCCCATCTGATGTTATTTAATTTTGACATAGATGCTATCTAATCAAATCCAACATGTTTTGAATATATTCTTTTACCTAATTAATTTCTTCCTAACAAAACATCCTCAGTTATCGGTACTTTAATATTAAAAATATTGAGATTTTATGGAGCATATTTTTCTTAACGTTTACTAAAATCATTCTAAATATAAAAGTTGTAAATTGTTTGACCCGCACGCCCGCCCACCCGCCCGTTTTTAAAAAATTTTAACCCACTCACCCGCCTACTCACTTAGATAGATGGGGCGTGGGCGAGTGAAAAACCCGAGCATTGTTCAATATTTAATTATAAATATTTTTTAAAATGATATTTATAAATTCGAAATCCATGGGCTACTTAAATAATATAAATTTATTTAATTATATAAGTTAAAAACCAATTGTGGCTATAGCTGATAATACTTTTGCGAAGCTCCTATAATGACACTAATTTGGCCTTACAAGTAATTTTACAATGAAAACTATTTGTGTTGATTTTTTCAACAACATAATCTTTAAATTTTTATAGTGACTCCTTATAATTTTTCTAACAAAAAAAATCTTGAAGAAATAAATACTTTTTATCTTCATAAAAATCAAAATTTAATTTTTTTTACAAAACAGAAAATTCAAACAAAGGAGTGAGAGGTTCATATTCCAGTTCATAATAATTTGATTAAAAGAATTAAAATACATGGGGAAAATAATAATAATTGATTTTTTTTTACGAAGTATTCATCTCAAACTTACACCTGCAACAAATACCAATATTTTCTTGGTATACAATAATTGTCAGGGATCTGCAAATGGCAAAATTTTCAGGTCCGGGGAAAATTTAGCAGTTGCCCGACTCGGCCCCGCAAATTTTTAACTGGCCCGCTTTCTATTTTTTTTTACAAGCCAATAAAAAAAATATTATTTATTTTTTAATCTCAATTAAGAAGGGCGGGAATTTTTATTTTTTGAACGGCGCAGCCCATTATTTTTTAGCCCGGCTGCCTAAAAAAAAATTCAACATAAAATCATATAATTCTATTAGATTTCAAAACTATGCATTGCCAATACCTGATAAACACGCGTAAATGATATATTATATTGGTTTAAATGAATGCAAATATTATTTAGAAATTAATAAAGATTTATTTCGTGAATTTTTATATATTTTAGTGGATAACGAAAATATTTACAATTTGCCGGTGATATTATTATTGTTTTAAATTTACCGCAAAA